GTCCAATGCTAGAAATCACGAATAAATTGTTTCAGTTATTATTTGTTGTCCAGAGGCCCCATAGTTATCCTTGCATTAAAGCTAACCCAAACAGAAAATAGTCGATTCTATGACCTCAACATTTATCTAGGGCACCTTCTCTTGGCTGATCAGATTGCTTCTAGTATAGACTGCGAGTACACGATTAATGATCAAATCAACTAGTACCATTACTACCATAGTCCATGTTTAGTTGTCACATTGCTCACAAATATTTACAGACTAAAGCAGACAATGTAGGTCAACTGGTGCAACGTGAATTCGTAATTGGGTCATCCAAATTCCACAAATCCAACATAGGGTCTGGTTTTAGTGTTTAAATTATTTGCTTTGCTTTCTTGTTTGGGGAGGCACTCAAATTGAGTGTATTGAAACGTCTTTCTCTCGATGCACGGATGCGTTATTTACGCGTATATGCATATTTGAATGTGTGTGTATATATACATGTACATGTATGTATGTTTGTATAAATTGAACACTTAGCCAAATGAAGACAATTGAAATCTCACTTTAAACGTATTGCCTGTTAAGTAAGCTCACAATTTGCTGTAAACCAAGGTTAGGGAAAGAAGCAAACATGTGGGCACAGTTGCCGAAGTCAACGGCGCGATGACTAGAGGTCTGACGAAATAATAAGTGGACATAGCTATTACGGCAGTGGACGTTAGTCTGCACGGCCAGGTGGATAAGGCGATCACGTGAGATAGCGCGTGACATGCCGACTTGCCGTATACATTTGTAAGCTATCCTCCTTCCTATTGGCTAACCTCTTGACGAATAGAAACGTAGACTTCTTTGATTGGCTATAGGCTGCATTTATATTAATAACTTCATGCGGTCAGAGCATCAGACACATATTTTGGGTATATAAAAAAGCCTCACGTCCTACTTCCCCATCTTGTCTCCCTTTTCCTCCCTCCTGCCCTTCTATGTTCAGCTCCGGTGCTTCTAGCTCGTCCTCTGATGAGGTGTCTATATGGCCCCCTCCGGGCAGGAGGAAACGTCATCCAGCAGGCGATGGGAGGGTTTGCCGCACTTCTTTGACCTCTAGATTTGGTGACTATTCTCGTTCGGGGCGGTTCGCTGGCGAGGCCTCTTCATTTAGTGATAATGATGATTCAGACGATTCCAATAGACTGTTGCACAAGTTCGACCCTCTCGACAGTCGCTCCGGCATAATCGGTTCACCACTCGGCGGCATCAGGATAGACGTGGGATTCGCGGGAGTCGATTGCGACGACAGGTCCATCTCCACAAGTGGCTTCTGCTCCACTAGTCCACTCACGTGCAGGTCTTCTTCCCTTGACAACTGCCTTTCTCCGAACGCTGGCTCCACGGATTATCTGGCAACACGATTTCAGGCGTGGTCATGCCAGGATAACGAGTCATCTCCTGCCTATTTTTCCTCCCCGGTCATTGTTAACCGGCAGTCGCAGGCCACTTCTTCCAACCGGTTCAGGCTAGTCGTAGACACCAGCGGTGAATTTCTAGCTGGACAAAGCAGCATGGGTGAGCCTTACACAGTTCAAACTATCTCTAGTGCCAAGACCACTTCCGATTGTTCTACATCCGACGTTTGCTCCCAGTCATGGCCCTCCAGCCGTTTCCTAAATCTTAGCTAGATCCACTTGTATCCTCATGACTTTTCTCCTTGACCTGCCGTTCGGCAGCTCTCACCCATCCGCTCTTCCTCGTTATCGTCAATCAGATTTTTTTTATACAGCCCATGCTTTTTGCTCAAGACCAAAAAGTTTTCCCGGTTTTCCGATTAGCCTTCACATGGTTAATCGGCTTTTCTCCAAGAGATAGTCAACGAGTTTACCCCGTGCCTAGTTTTATTTTTGTTTTCCTCTTGAATCGTTGGCGTTTTTTTTCATAATATTTACGACAAGAGTGACCAAAATGGCCTTCCCCTCTGTAAGGAATTACGATTCTCTAGTCGCTTCACTTTTTCATATTCCGCCCACAAGACGTTCCTAAACATTCATGCCGGTGTGCCATACATACACGACCTTCAACAAACACTCCATCTATTTGCCGGTTCATGCAAACGCGGATGTACAAGTATGTACATATATGTGTATATTCGGCGTTGGTAACGGAAACTAATATTCCTTTTTAATCTTATTGTATTTGTTGGTTGGCTTGTATAGATAATAAATTTATTCACTCTTGTTGTTTTATCCATACATGGCACCTTAATGCCAGCTGATTGCCTATAGGAGCTTTCCACACCGTCTATTCGTTGAGACTCCTGCGGCGGAGTCCAGTCTCCTTACACTGAATCGTTTCTTACTGGGAGGTAGTACTGTCCAATAGGATTCCAATAATAAGTTGTCAGACGGGCTGTCGCACCGCTCTCTTTGCCGGATTCACATGCCAGCCTCAAAAGATTGTTATTTAGCTCATATAGATGCTGTGCGTAGGAGAGCTAGTGTCTCCGTGTTTGTCGAACATTGAATAAAGCAGTTTTGGGGCCCTCCCTTGGGCCGCATTCACAGAATAGGTCTAAACGATTGTACACCTTTTACTACCTTTTTTGTGGGCATCTTGTTCCCTAATGCTTTGCGATCTACGAGGTGATATACATATATCGGGGTGGAGCTAGGAATCCTACAGCGATAGGAGTATTCTACGTTCTCTAATAAAAAAGTAAGCTTCGTGGGTGTTGAGCCAATTACGCTCTTTTTCGTGACCTATCCGGCAAGCTACT